TGCCGCGCTGTTTGCTCAGGGAGCGATCGCCGTTTCGGCACATCCAGCCCCTCACCCGGCTGCTGCCTGCTCCATTTTCCACCCTGGTGGCCACGCGGGTGGGAGCAGCGGGTGGCCTTTGCCTGCCAGCTCTTTGTCCTTCCTCAAGGCTCCTTGCCTGTTGCTCTAACAGTTGCTAGGAGGAAGCATGGCCGGATGTGAGCATGGCAGTTGGGGCTGGAAGTGCTGTTCTCAGCCAGGTGTGGCCAGCCAAATGCCAATAACTTCCTTGCTTTAAGTGCTGCTGAGTCACAAGCCTGGTGGGGATCTGACAGTGGCATGCATGTTCCCTCCCAGGTACACCCTGCTGTGTGGGAACCCTCCCTTTGAGACCTCTGACCTCAAGGAGACCTACAGGTGTATCAAGAAAGTAGAATACACCCTCCCTGTCTTCCTCTCCCTGCCTGCCAAGCACCTCATCACTGGCATCCTCAGACCCAACCCCAAGGACCGCCTCACCCTTGAGGAGATTTTGGACCATGAGTTCTTCAAGGTGAGTGGGTGGGGACCTGGGTCAAGAGACCCTTCACCAGGTGGGATGAGGTTTTTTTGGGCTGTGCAGGGTGTTGTCCTTGTCCTGTACAAAGTGTCAGTCCTTCAAAGGAAGCAGCCGCTGTCCTGCCCAAATGCCAGCCAGAGGAACTGAGGGATCTGCTGTGCTTCTGCTGCCTTGTTGCTATAGCAAGGGGTTGTTTCCTGTGCTGATGCCAGTCATGGTTTTGAGGCTTCACGGAAACACAAGCTGGCTGTCAGGAGGGCTGTGAATGACTGTGGTCAGCCCAGGGCAGCTGCTCTGCCTGGAGCATGTGGCCTGTGGAAACCAAACCTCTCCCTTGACCTCTGCAGGGCTACACTCCTGAGAAACTCCCTCCCAGCAGCTGTGTGATGGCTCCAGAGTTGAGTCCCCCAAATCCTGCAAAGACTCTGTTTGCTAAAGTCACCAAGACACTCTTCAGGAAGAAGAAGCCCAAGGGTAAGTTTGTGCATTGCCAAGGAGCCTCTGGGTGACTCTTCCTTCAGGAAGAAGTGGATCCTGTTTTCTGGAGAGACCTCCTGATGGATCTCTCTGGACCCCATGCCTGGGTACAGCACAGGCTGGGTGTGCCCCTGCCTTTCTTGTGCTGGTGGCCTGGCATGGGTGTGTGCCTGGAGAGCGGATACTGTGCCACAACCCACGGGACAGTTCCTCCTGGAAGTCCTTTGTTGCATGAGAACTGGGAAGTGAAAGTGGGAGGCAGCTGTCTGACACCCTCCTTGCCTCCATGGGCATGGGAACAGATAAGGGAGAGCTGAGCTACTGGGAGGGGTGGCCTGGATGTTGCCGGCCTCTATGCTCAGCAGTGTACTCATCTCTTGCTCTCTCCTCAGCCAGGAAAGGCTCTTCAGAGGACAGGGATGACCTCTCCAAGCTGGTTACTGGGCTGATGAAGACCTCAATCTGTCGTCAGATTAGCTATAAAACTGTGGAAGGGAATGAGGTGAGAACCTTTCCGAGGCCATGCACACCCTTGTTTGGCGGAGCAGGCAGACAATGATAAAGCCAGGTCTCTCCACAGGCCACTCCTGTATCATGCCGCAGTGCCAGCTCCAGCCCCGTGGAGACAGTGGTGGAGGAGACTTCTCACAAGTCTGCGTCTCCCTCCATCCGGGGAACGATGGCCAGCAGCTGTGAAGGTGAGCAATACCTGTCCCAGCCACCCCAAGCTTCCTGTCATGCCTGGGCTGATAGCGGGGCCAGCTGACTCAGCCTCTCATCTTCTCCCCACAGCCTTTGAAGATTGCATCACTGCCTCTGCCATCATTGAGTCAGCTGTCCGGCTTCTGCGGACCTGCCTCTCCTCCATGCCTCCAGGTAAACTGGTTGGACTGCTCTGGGATGGGATAGGGGGCTGTGCATCCCCTTCCCTGTGGGATGAAGGCATGGCTGCTACTTGGGGTACAGATAGCACCCTAAATGGTGCCAGAGCCTGCTGTAGGGATCTGTTCCCTCTGGGCAGGTGAGATGGACAGGGGCTGGCTGGCTGCACTGCTCACCTCCTCTCTTCTCCAACAGCGGAGAAAAACCCAGCTTCCCTGGCCCGCCATGAGCACTTTGTCTGGGTGAGCAAGTGGGTGGATTATTCCAACAAGTATGGCTTTGGCTACCAGCTCTCCAACCGCAGCATTGGGGTCCTCTTCAACAACGGCACGCACATGACGCTTTCCCCCAACCACAGGTGAGCGGTGGGAATGGGGCTGATCTGTCTCTAGGAGAGCCCCTTGGGTGGGAAGGGGAGTCTGTACCATCCCCAAAACTTGTGCTCTGCTCCCTCCAGGACTGTACATTACAACCCAACCAACAGCAAACACCTGGTGTTCTCTGTGTCTGCCATCCCCGAGCAGCTGCAGGGACAGATGAGTGTCTTGCGCTACTTTGCGTCCTACATGGAGCAGCATCTCATGAAGGTGAGTGCTGGACATTGGGTTATGGCTTGACCACACCATTTAGCTGGCTGGACTCCCTGCTTCCAGCTGTGGCCAGGTGGACACACAGGGTTGTGCCATGGGAGTGGGGACTCCACTGAGGGGGTACCCAGCTTTGTTGTGTGCACTGTTGGAAGTGCTCCCATGTGTGGGACCAGTGTCTTATGCAGACCCTTCTCTCAAAGGGAGGTGACCTGCCCAGCATAGATGACCTTGGACAGCCAGCCCTGCTCCTCCTGCAGTGGGTGAAGACTGACCAAGCCTTGCTCATGCTCTTCAGCAGTGGCACCCTCCAGGTATGTGTGGGGCACAGTGGAGATGCCCAGACCCTTGTGAAGAGGAGGCCAGATAGGGGTCTTCTAGTCTGTGTTGGAGCTCATCTGCCACAGCCCAAATGGAAAATACAGCTGTGAAAACAGCTGTGCGTGCATGATGTTGCTCCAGTGCCTGGAGCTGCTGGTTGCAGCTTCCCCAGCCCATGGAGAGACATAGCACTTCAGCTGGATGCTTCTGTCTGCCCCTGTGCTAGGGCTGGCTCATTCCTGCCGTGGGGCATGGGCAAGGGTGCTCCCGGGCAGGCTGGGGAGGAGGAACGGGTTGAGGCAGGAAATGTGGCTTCATCCTGGCTCCTAACGTGCTGTGGGAAGCATGGCTTAAACCAAGCCCAACCTGTCTCCTAGGTGAATTTCTACAACGACCACACCAAGGTGATCATTAGCAAGCCTGACCACTCCTGCCTTGTCACCTACATCAACCGGGAGCGCAACTCTTACACTTACAAGCTGTGCAGCATCCAGGAGCTGGGCTGCTCTCCTGAGCTCCAGCACCGCCTCAGATACATCCTCAAGCTTCTCCAAGAATGGGCTGAGGCCTAGCCTGGGACCTTGGGGGCACCCTGTCTGGACTTGGAGGTTTTCCCCTGCCCTCCCATGGGATGGGAGGGATGATGTGGTGCTGGCTATCCCCCTGAGCACTGTGTATCCTGGTGCTCAGCTGGACTCTGGACTAAGACATGTGGATGTGGTTACAGCAGCAGGTCTGGATATCCTTGCTGCTCCCTGGCTCTGGGCAATCGCTGTCTTCCCACTGGCAGCTCCTGCTCTGGTGGTGCTGGTCCTGATGGAATGGACTGGGTGTTACAGGGAGGTGGTGGTGGATGAGTGTTCTGCAGCTGGGTTTGGGGCTGGCTGAGCCTTGTTTAGGGCTGGCAACAACTACCTGTGGTGGAGGCTCAGGCTCCCCTGCCCCAGCTGATGCATCAGTTGCACAGACCCTTTGCATGGCCTGGACATGGCTGGCACAGTTTTGATCTCAAACTTCAGGTGCTGTGGGATAGGAAAACCCCTTCCCAGGAATGGGCAGGGGTGAAGGGTGCTGTCTGCCCTGCCAGGGGCTCTCTGGGCTGGTGTGTGCCACTCCACAACTGTTACACTAAGGAGGGACTTGTGCTGGGCCCAGCTGGGCTCAGTCTCTTCCCAATTTGTGAATTGTCTGGTACAACCTGAGGTTTGATAAAGGGTGGGGGATGGGATCTGAGGACTTGCCTGGAGAAGCCCTCATTTTTTTGGGACCCAGGGTTGTTTCTTATTTCAAGGCAGTCTCTGCCATGTGGGACTATTTATGTATCTTATTTATATGGAATTTATTTATTTTCCTGTTGGTCTGTCCATGTGCAGTTCCCCTCTCCCTGAGTCACCTCAATAAAAACTTATTTGTGTAAGGGCAAACTATGTCTGCCTTATTTGAAGCTAGAGTCACAAAAGGGCTTCAGCATCATTCTTGCTCCAGAGCTGCTTCTGCCTGTTGGGGATAACCCTTCTTGCCACTGATTGCTGCTGGGCAATAAGGTCAGGGAGGCAGGATGGCCATGAAAAGCCCTTGTGGTACCTCCACTGCCTTTCATGGGACTGGCACAAAGGGCACAGTTAGCTCTTGCTTATGCTGGTGGAGCCTTGGAGCTGCCTCAAGTTCTCCTTGCTGCTGCCAAACGCATTCCCAGTCTTTTCTGTACTTGGACCCAACCCAGCTGCTCTCCTGATTCTGCTGAGCTGCAGAAGGCAGGAGCTATGACCCAGGTGGTGGAGGGGTTGCCTGAGCCCTTGCGTTGACATTTCGTGTGATGGGATATGAGCTGGGCATGAAGCCAGGAAAGAGCTCTGTGAGCTTGCTTTGAAGGTGATCTATGTAATCAATCTGCCTGGGAGCAGCTTGGGCTGTGGGAAGCAGCCTGGGCTGCTCCAACAGCCTTGGGCAGTTGCCTGTTCCAGGGAAATCCAGCCTTTTGTTGTGTTTGCTGCTGCCTCGGTCTCTTTGCAAACCGTAGTACTGGGAACTGCAGTGTGGGTGTGAGCTGAGGCTGGAGTGAGCATCCATATCTTGCTCCTTGCACACACCCTGGCCCAAGACTCCAGGTATGGCACACAGCTGGATGAAACCTCTTTATTTCAGCTGCTCTTTCCCTACAGCTCTACAAGACTGGGTGGACAGAGAGGCATGTGCTACTCGAAGTAGACCCCATACACTGTGGCTACAGCAAAGAGGGAGGCGTTGGAGAAGGTGGCAGAGGCAAAGCTGTCAGTCTCAGGGTCCCATAGTCCCCGGCTGGCCACCAAGAGGCTCTGCTGGCCCTGCTGGCCCAGCACCACGTGGCAGACCAGCTTGTAGCGGGGTGGCACCACCTCCTTGGCCTGGTTCTGCAGCAGCTCAGTCAGGCTCTGGGCTAGTGGGCCATTGCCCTGGGGACTGTATACACTGCTCCCCAAGGCATGGGCCAGGGTGCCCTCCAGCACCCTCTGCACCCGCTGTGCATCAAACTCGCAGCCTTTGTCTGGTCCCATTCTGTAAGTGTTTTCCAGACGGGTCTTGAGGATGGGCTGGAAAATTGGGAGCCCAGAGAAGCTAACACGTCTGTGGAGCATCCAGGGGCCAAGGGAGGGACGCCTGCTCCCCGGGACCATCCCGAATGAGCTGCGGCGGCTGAGGATGGAGTTGCGGCGGGAGAGCAGCGCGGGTGGTTTGCTGTCCTCAGTGCCCCGCGCTGCGGGCTGGGACCCACGGCATGTAGTGCGGAGTGAAGGGGCTTCAGAGTTGGCTGCAGCCAGCACCTGGGCTAGCAGGGCTGCCTCTGGGATGGGCTGCTCAGCCATAGGGGTGGCCTGCAAAGGACATATACCTGAGTGTTAGGTGAGGCCGGTGTCTTGTAGCCTCTCCATTCCCCTGCCTCTCTACCTCACTTCTCCCTGGCCTCTGCAAATCCCATGCCTTCTGGCATGTGAATCTCTGTGAGATGACATGCAGAGGGGCTGGGAGATCCATGGCAACTGTCTTCCCTTCTCCGGTGCCTCCATGCCCATCAGACCCAGCCAGCTGGGGCTGATCCAATGCATGGTCCACACAACCCCCTGCTCTCCCATCCCTTCCCCTGGCACAGGTGAGTGACTCTTTCCCCAGTGTTCTGGTCTGCATCTGATCTCACACTTACCATAAGTTCCACTCCTGTCCTTGCAGAGTAAACCCAGGGGAATTGTCTCTGGTGGATGTCACTGCCCTGGACCAAACTTTATCTTGCAAGTTGCTGTGAGCAGGGCCAAACCTGTTGTGTTCCTGGAAGGTGAAGTGTTGCTATGTGACACTGTAGGTCTCCAGGACTGTTCTGGGGCATGGCTTCTGTAACTCCTTGTTTCCTGGTCCCTGGATAGCCCTGTTCCCCTTCACTCCTGCCCTCTCTGCATTTTCAGCTGTGTCAGCACAGGGATGTGGTTATTCCAGGCATGTGCCCTCCAATCTCAGCTCCCTGCTAGCCCTGAAAAATGCAGGCTGGTGTTGGATGTGCAAGACAAGAACAGGGGGTGGAGAGTATCAACTGTGATCCCTACTTTGTGCCCTGACCAGGGGTTGCACTGGGACTGAGTCCTCCAACAGCTTGATTTTGCTCAGACATTTGCATCCTTAGGCTACTTATGCCCCACTGCACCAAGGGAGAGTGTGAATGGGTGGGCACCATTGAATCATATAATCACATAGTGGGTTGTGTTGGAAAGGACCTTAGAGACCATCTAGTTCCAAATCACCTGCAATGGGCAGGGATGCCACCCCTAGAGCAGATTGCGCAGAGCCCTATCCAACCCAGCCTTGAACACTTCCAGGGACTGTATGGAGCACAGCCCTGGCACATGCCAGGGACTCTGCTGCTGTAATGCCTGCAGGGTGAGCAGGTCCCTGGGGGCTCCTGACCCTGGCTGGAGTTTCTCTCTGCCAGTGGAGCCCAGCCCAGCTGGTACGACACAGCTGTTCCATCAATGTGCCTTTGTCTGGCCTGGCTGCTGAGCTATTTGAGGAAAGTGGAGACAGCTTTTGTGCTTCTATCTCCGGTTGGAGGTATTTATAGCCTGCCTCTACTAGCGCTGCCAAGCACGCTGCCAGCTAGACCCCATTCCCTTGGGTGCTGCCTCAGCTCTGAGCCCCATTCCTGCCTCTCCTTCTGACATCCACTGACAAGCAAGGGTGGATCCCTCCATGGGCAGTCCCCTCCTTGCACTGCCTGGGGCCAGCCAAGGCTTGGAGAATGTCACAGGACTTGGTTTGGGCTTAGGTGAGCAGGTTGCTCTAGTGGGCTGATCTATGGGTGGCATCCCTGCCCATGGCAAGGGGGTTGGAGCTAAATGGTCCCTTCCCACCCAAGCCTTTCTATGCGGCTGGTGATGCTTTTTTCTCTCTGCAAGCACCTGTACCCTAAGCAGACATGAGAGCTGCAGGGCTCTGGCCTGGAACATCGCAGGAGAGAAGGCTTCTCCCATTTCAGGGGACAAATCTTCCTGCCGAGCTCCAGTGCTGCTGCTGGGGACTCGGCCATGCCCAAGGCCTTTCCATGGGGGCTGTGGAGGTGAGGGCGATTTCCGTGCATGTGCTGCCTTTTCCAAAATCTCAGCTGGCTGCGTCTCTTCACCTTATCTCTTTGCTCCGCAGCAAAGCCACCAGCTTGGGCCGCAAAGTCCCTGTGCCAGGCGTGCCGGAGCCGCGAAACACGGCAAGGAATTCCACTCGCTGCGAGGCGCAGCCCCGCTTCCCCGCGCGGGGAGCGCCGGCCGGAGCCGCCTCGGCAGCAGGGCCGTGCTTCTCGCCTCAGTGTCCCATCGCTGCCTCCGCCGCTCGCCCGGCAGCGCTGCCGGCCAGGCTTCCCTAGCAATGGGCCGTGCCGCCCGCCGCAGCTCCCCGCCGGCCTCCCGGCAGTTCCGCGCTCCCTCCCGCCATCCCCCGGCCCGCCCGCGCCTCCTTCCGCCGCTCCCTCAGGCCGCCCATGGCCGGACCCTGCTCGGCGCGGCTGCAGGGCGACGCGGCCGCCTTCAGCGCCGCCCTGCGCACCCTGGTCAACAACCCCCAGTTCAGGTGAGGGCCCGGGGCGCGCCTCCCCCCCAGCCCCGCCGAAGCTGCTCCGCGCTGTTCCCCGCAGCCCCGAGCCCTCCTCGCTGTTCCCCGCAGCCCCGAGCCCTCC